TGTTTCGTTGTGAAAGCGAAACTACTTTGTTTGGTCTTCCAAAAGAGGACGATATCCGCTTCGTCATGCCTGGAGCTGATCCGTGCTGGTCGCTGAGGGAATACATCAACTTCGCGCTGTGGCTCGCCGGATCGGGTTTCACCGTGGACGAAGCGGAATCCAGCCCGGGGTCATCACACGTGGTTGCTGCAAGCCCTCCGGCCGCCGCTCACTCTAGCCCGCCGTGTGTGATGCTGTGTTTCATTGTGAAAGTGAAACTACCTTGTTTGGCTTTCCAAAAGAGGCCACGACTAGAAATCAGTGGTTAAGTTGTATTTACAACACTGTTCCAGAACAATGCAACATGTAAAAAGACAGTATAAGTCATTATAATCCGTAATTGTGTCCCCACTGGATGCAACAAATGCCTCGTGTATAATGGCTTTTAATGTTGTCTCGTCGCTCCGGCGTAAGGTGCAAGGTGCGTAACATTTCCGTCACACACTTGAGGTATTCAGCCAATCACAACGCGCTGGATAGCTGGCCAATCAGAGCACACCTCGCTTTTCAGAACGATGAGCTTTGTGAAAATCGACGCGTTTCAGAAAGGCGGGGCATAGAGGAGAAACAATAATGTACAGTATGTGGAAAATAATGTTTTTTGAACCTTAAACCGCATAAACACATTTCATTACACCAAATACACAAAATAATGTTATTTTTAGCAACATCATATGACCCCTTTAAATTTCCCATATCCATTGGGAATTGATTGGGTCATAAAAAGTGGGTGCCACATAACAGAATGCAACTTAAAATGCTAGTTTGCTAAAACAATTCCTACATGAACCAATCAGATTGCATGGCCTGCATGATGTCACCAGAACAAAAAGTTGCTTTAGAGGCAGAGCAGGTTATTATTTTGTGATGACCATTTTCCTTATGTAATGTGACATATTTAAAGTGTGTTACGTAACCAAATGTAATTTAAAAAAGCAAGTTTGTTAAAACAATTCCTATGTTATCCAATAAATCATGTGGTCTAGGTGATGTCACTGGAATAAAAAGTTGTTTCAGAGCCGAAGCAAACTATTATATTTTAAATATTTAAGATTGCAAAGACATTTTTTTCTTTGCAAGAATGTACACTGATAATATGGGAGCAATTAAGCAAGTAAATTTGGATTTCATTTTGACTTTGAACAGGGTTTAAGTGACCGTACTTTTGCATTTTCCCTGGTACTGTGCAGTCAGGTCAGGGTGTCTCTTGCACTTGGCCCTAAGGAGGGCACACTCGTTCCGGTACGTTTTCCCATCGGAGCCACACACAGGCCCTTTAAAAGTGACATTGGAGCAGTCTGGGGCACACACGCAGCGGGGCTTATTCCGCTTGTTCATTTTGCACCGCTTTCCAGGACCACAGTCCACATTATCACAAGTCTCTGTAGAATCAATAAAGAAGGTCATTAATTGACATATCAGTTCTGGACAGACAAATGATGACACTGTATTTATTCAAATTATAGATACCATACTGATACGTCCGTAAAATGTCTGAAATGTTCTTAGGTTAACAATTCAATTTAAAACATTTAGCCGCTTCCAGATCATTTCCAGTCATCCAAATGATGAAATCACTCTAATGTGGTACCTTTACAAGGTATGCAGTTCGGAGCACCACCATTGAAGATCAGCCACCGGAAGAGTGTATTATTGGGTACATCCTCTTCGGTCCACGCTGTGCCCAGGCGACCACTTCTACAACAGTCTTCCCGACTCATCCCAGACATGTACAGAACTTGGCATCTCCCGTTCTTGCCCTGCTGAAGCCAGCAGTTGCCAGCTGGAAAGGGTTACTTTATTATGTGCTGAATACTATTCTGCTCATTTATCACTCATACCAGGCATGCAATTGAATGTAACCAATTAGTGCCAAGCAGGGCCATAACTACCTTGGACATTGAGGGGGACATGTTGGATTTTTTTTTTACCTTACATGTCTTAAATTCCTACCTTTGGTCCCTTCAGTACTGAATATCTGGTTACATCTTTAGTGCCAAGTTACATTATGACTATAAAATAACCACGGATTTTGCTGGATCCAGGTAAAAGATCAAACAAACATTTGAAAATGATTTTAATGGTATTTTTAAAGGAACTCGGGTTTCAATTCCAAATGTTCAAAGAGTCTTTCTGGCATCTGAATCCACTCTGACTCTTAAGAAACACTATATTGTGGTTGTGCAAGCGTTTTTGTGCATTGCACGGCAACATGCTCAACCGTTTAGACATAATACCATTATAAACATAATAAATTATTAAAATACCACAATTCCTATTGCACAAAGTTTAACATAACATCTGAAAATATTAATCATTTCAAGATTTCCAATGAATATCTACTATAAATTCTTATAGGTGTCTTTGAAAGTTCACATAATTTTTCTTAGTTGTTATGCACGGGAGGCGCTAGCGCGCAACCGCACCATTCAAGCTCCTCAAGTCCAGATCAATGCAAGAATGGCTTTAACACTGCATAATATACCTCAATCAGACCTTTAGACTGCACGCGAAGGATAAATGTCACTTTACCTTGTACTTTCTGCTGTTCCATCAAGTGCGCGAACCAAATGAGAAGCGCGATCACGCCCTGGCGGAGCTGCGGTAACTGTAGCATCCTCAGAAAAAGTGGAGACGCGCGTTGGAGACAGACGGACTACAGACGGACAGATGTTCTTCCGATGCTTCGCACTCAGGACTGTCATACACACGGAATCCGTCTCGCTTTTTAAATCTATATGGGGTCTCGAGTTGGATGCCTGTGGTGGGCGGTCTTCATACTTCATAGGGGGGTGGGGAGAGCATTGTAGTTTGCCCACCGACATTTATCAGGTGATATTTGGAAGTCTAGAAACTTTCTCCCCTCAAGAGCAACATTATGATTCGGGGCTGAGTTTGGGGGGATTTCAAAGTGTTGGATAACAGCAGAAAAGTGATTTGGAGTCTGTTTGTGTTTAATGTGAAGGCTGATTGTTGAAGCATAACAGCTTTTGATATAAATATTTTTCTTTTAACATATGCCAAACGTTGAGCTTGGACTTGATGAAACAGAAATCAGTTCTGCAGAACTGCAGAATAAATAGTTTATTTTGATGTGATAAAAAACAAAATATAATAAATAAAATGTAGCTAATATATGTTGGAGACGTGCTTAAAATAACAGGATCGAGTTTTATGCTTAATGCTGCACTGTTCTCGAAGTCTTGACACTACAAGGTCTCTGTAATAAAGATTTCAATGTTGATATTTCTACAAATATCCAGTTTACTGTTCAAAATCATGGTAACAGGGTTGACTATTTTAGATTGTACCAGCCAAAAATAATTAAACTAAGATGATGAAAAAGACAAGTTCACAAGGATGATTGCTGTTATTATGATGTATTTAGTTTATTTTTTATATATATTTTTTTTAAGTTACATTTTTGTATTATACAGATAAGGGGAATTATAAGGTAACAGGGCTGATGCCTAACCTGGAATTTCATG